GGTGAACATGAGCAGACCTGCAGGTTAACAGTGGACACAGGACACAGTGAACATGAGCAGACCTGCAGTTAACAGTGGTCACAGGGTGAACATGAGCAGACCTGCAGTTAACAGTGGTCACACGGTGAACATGAGCAGACCTGCAGGTTAACAGTGGTCACAGGACACACAGTGAATACTAGTTTTGAGAAGTTATTCAAGGTTAATCTTGAGAAACGAGTCTGGCAGTTTCACTTTCTGAAGCTGACTACAGAAGGAAGCTTGCTTATCTGGATCCTCCGGTTGTAAGAAATGGACAAAATGGAGCAATGGAGAATACCTTGATAGGTGGGCAGTTCACAGGGCTGAAAGACCAGCTCAGCCCATGGTATCCGTGGAGGATGGGGTCTGCTGGCCTGGCCGAGGCTGCAGCTACCAGGCGCTTCCCTGGACCATGTCCTCTCCAGATCCTCCAGTACTGTGGAGAAAGGACCCGGCTGGTTCCTTCTGCACAGTGTGCCTTTCCACAGCAAGGAAACAAGAACTGTGACTGCCACCGCTCTGGCGGGGGATGGCATGACATCACGGTTTCAATGATGCTGAGAAGGAAAGTGGTGGGGCTGGTGAGGCCAGCCTTTTACCGATGATAGTAATTACAAACCACTGTGATTTTTACTGTTAGGGCGGTTTAATGGGTATGTACATGGGTGGAGGCTTATCCAACTCTACAGGACTACTATGGACTGTTTATTATACATCAATTATGTCCTGAGCTATAAACACTAGTTTAGGGGGGCCCACAGTCCCCTAACACAGACACAGAATTTTAGGTATGCACAGGATTTCCCAGTAGGTGTGTCCACACGGGAGCTGGGGCTCTGTGCTTCTGTTTGGGAGTGATTGTTTCCATTTTACTTACATGTATAGTGTATAATCTAGCAAAGGGAGAGGCTGGTAACTGGGTTATTTTTTCATCAATCAGGAAAATGCGTCCCTAATCAGTGCCTCCCAAACCCTTTGATCCCCAGAGGACCGGGTGCAGAGATGTGCCCGGCTCTCTCCATCGGCCTGCAGACACCCCTGCAGGGTTGGGGGGCCAGTCCTTGCACTGTGCTGAACTTGTGGACGTACAGAGTGGCCACCAGGATGAGCAAGCAAGTGAGTCCAGGGAGAGTCAAAGCCCCATCTGGGCACAGTTTCCTGGACCCAAACCCTTAGGAATCATTTTTCTGAAATCAAGCCCTGTTATTTTTGTTTAAAAACCACGTCCTTCACAGGCTCTCTCTAATCTGTACTCTATTCTCCAGGGGTCGGGGGAGTGTGTGTGCTTCCCAGCAGAGAGGTTTTCAAATGATCCCACTGCCCGCTTTTACTAGCTTCCCTAGAAAACATGGCTCCTGTGGCATTCCGAATCACCACTGGAGGTGTACCGGGGGGGTCATCAGAGGGTAGAGAAGAGGCTGAGGAGGCAGGCTCCTCCTGTGTTCCTCCATAGTCACCATGGCAAAACCCTCGGGGCAGCAGACGGAGCTCAGTTGGTAGAGTGCTTGTCCAGCATGCACGAAGCCCTGGATTTGGTCCCCAGCGCCACATAAACCAGACATGATGGCACACAGGTCAGCCCAGTCCTTGGGAGATGAAGGTAAGACGGTCAGATATTCAACTCATCCTTTGCTACATGCTCCGTAGAAAGGTGCGAGGCCACTGTGGGAAACATGAGACCTGTCTTTACAAAAAGAAACAAAACATCTGCGAGATCCAGCTCAAGCCTTCTGTTACAGGGCTTTTGCTTTTTGCTTTGGTTTTGGTTTTGCTTGTTTGCTGGCTGGCTCCTCCCCAGACAATGGGAACTCTTTCGGGGAGTGGGCCACAGCCAAGTTGTAGGATTTCCAGTCTCTTGGGAGGGAGAGGGCTGGAGCTGCTACAGCAGAGGCACAGCTGGAGTGGGAAACGCACTCAGTTGTGAAGGTGGCACTTTATTGGTGTGTGACCCTACTAGCATCTCCAAGGAGGCTGGGGAAAAGGCCCATGTGCTTAGTGAGGGTGGACAGCCTCAGCTGGGAAGCAAACTATTTATCCAGACATTGTCCCGGAAAAAGGCGAGCGCACAGAAGCCCACCACCCCAGCAGCCGCACACAAAAGCCAATCAAATGAGGTGAAGATGAATATCGCTTGTCTCCTGTCTGCCCCGAGGTCCCTGGAGGTCTAGGGACAAAAGGCTGGTTGCTCCAGTTTCTGAAGCTTACATTTCATCCTTGGAAGACACTGGAGGTCCACATGAGGCTACAGCCATTATCTGTCCCCACGCCTCTCCACAGAGGACTGACGACAGATGCCCCCAGTCCCTGTCGGTCTGGGTAAGAGGACTAGAGCTGGGTGTGATGTGCCGACCTGTAACCCCAGCACTGCCACAGCTGAGGCAGAAGGACAGACTCTGAGGCCAGCCTGTGATGCAGAGCACCAACAGACATGACACAGCTGGATGGACAGGGTACATCCAAGAGCGTAACACCCGAGTACTTACCAAATTCCTCACCCTACGCTAAGTCTGGTGGTGCTCAACATGTGCATATTGAATGCTGCTTTTTTCCTGCAGCCTTATGCTTTTTAATATATTTAAATGCCTACGGGAAAATCATGTGTCAGTAAACCTTTGAAAAATATTTATTATGAGCTACACAGAGACACCCTGTCTCGAAAAACAAAGTAACAAAAAAAGAAAAAAAAAAGTAGCATTTGTGTGTGTGCACGATGTGTGTGTGCGTGCAGGCAAAACATGCATGTGGGGATTAGAGGTCAACTTTGTGGAGCTGGTTCTGTCCTCCATCGTTACATGGTTTCCAAGATGGAACTCAGCTGTCAAGCTTACAAGGCGAGTGCCTCATCAGCCCCAGCAAACAGTATTTTGTTCGTGCCTTCATTGCCGGTGGAGGCCAGAAGAGGGCGTCAGATTCCCGGGCACTGGAATTTCAGATGGTTGTGATCCGCCCTGTGGATGCTGGAAGCTGAGCGCCCACTTTCTCCAGTTACCCTCTGCCCCCAAACAAACATTTTAAGGTTATATTTTAAAAGAATAAAGACACTTACGAGAGCCAGGTGTGACTGGTCAGGTCCGACCCTCAGTGGGTAGCCAAGATCACACTAGTCATTGTTGATTGAGCACCCAATTACGTGCCAGGGGAGGGTTCCATCCACTCGTTCCAGGCCACGGTAACACTGCGGATTCACACAGCTTTGCCCCAGGAGAGAATCAGAAGTAACTTGTTTTAGCTTACACAGCGGGGCCAGCTCCAGAGCCCGCGTTATATAGAATTACGTCCTCTTAGTCACTCAGTTCCTCTAGTTAATTTTGGAGCATTTCCTGCCACTGATGTGAGTCAAGCGGCCGCTAAGCGCAGCACGGATGAATATTTAAATGAAGACGCTTGCCCTGGGCTAGAACCAGGGTTGTGAAATGGCTTGACGGGAATGACCACTTTCAGTCCCCATTTCAGGGATGAGGGAGCCGGACGATCGAGGTGTTCAGGAATTTGCCCACAGCCACTCAGCTGGCAAGCGGCTGCGCTGGGGCTTTTAATCCTTGCCCAGACCTGGGCCACACCTCTCGCCCTCTCCGCGCTCCGCGGCCTCCCACGAAGGTCGCACGCGGAAGACGCAGGTGGGGCCTGGCTGCTCGCCCCGCTGGGCTCGCCCGCGCGCCTGGGCCCCGGGAGGCGCTCCCGGGAAGCCACCCTGCAGTCGGGGACACCGGCGGATCCGCGCGGGGGGACCTGCCACCGCAGGTAACCGCAGGGGACCGATCGCACTCCTGCGG